TGAACATATACATACTTGTCTGACCTAGTCCTGTGGACCAAGAATCAGATCCCTGAACTTGCGAAACTTCTCACCTTGCAATGGCTTAGTCATGAAATCCGCAATCATATTGTCAGTTGGACAGTATTGGACCTGAACATTTCCTTTCTCAACTTGATCTGTGATAAAGAAATAACGAATATTGATAGCTCGGCTTCTTTTGCCCGCGCTCTTGCGACCATTCTCTTCCAGTAGAATCGCGCTTTTGCTATCCTGATACAAGATAATAGTAATAACTGAAACATTAATCGATTAAATGCTAGGTAACGCATACGATTGCCGGTGGAATGGTCGGCTGTAAAGGTCAAGTACTGTGGAGCGGCGAGTCAACAACAAGTTTGAACCATGTGAGGCGTCTGAAAAATCAGAAGTTGCTCTAGTCAGAACCAGCTGGTTCGGACTCTACCCGCAGCGTGGAAGGGTGATTTTGGGGCGTTGCTTCCACGAAACGATGTTCAAGGGGAATGGTCCGCAGGGTGGAGGAAGCGATGAAGGATACGGCGTTGAGGCGCCAGAGCGCGGCGGTAGGCCGTGCGTTCCATCCTCACCAGCTTCTGTTGGTGAAATGGGATCTTAACAAATAAAAGAACAGTCGAACATGTCGGACAGTGAGGTCGGACATTCGTGATATCGAACACGGACGGGAGTACGGTTCGAGTACTTACCGAGATGGATAAGTATTGAAGGTAGATCCAGATCTGTGACTAATTCGTGAAGAACATGTGCGTATGTGCTTTATGCGCCGCGACAGCTGGTGAGAGCTGACGCAGGTTGCTTCCGGAAGAGATTTTTTGTACCTGCTTGTGGAGATCATTGTTGATCGACTTCTGGCAAGAATAGCAGTAGAATAAGATCTAATAGGAAGTGGTGAGACTGTTCATCCGCAGGTAGAAGCCCAGCATCACTGGCACCTGTTCCTATTGTAGGCAATCCATAGCCGACGTAGATTCGAGCTCAGTATACTCCAGAGGTGGCTAGAGCGTTGAGGCTCTCATTACAGCTACGGAGTTGATT